TTTCGACGAACTGATGAGATCTCGGTGCCGGGTTTTTTTATCAGTGGCGATAGAGGGTCTGTCGGGTCTATCCCGTGATTAAGGAAGTACGGTGGCTGAATAGTAGTGTCAGATGGGGCGTTGTTGTACGCAAACTCAATCAAAGGAAGGGAATCTTCCTATTGAGCCGGGCCTATGCATGTCGTGTGGATCAGTTGCTCTATCGTCTGATTAGTGCGTTGCGTGTGCCCATCCGATTGTGGGTGGTAGGTCGTGGACAGATGCAAACATGTGCCGTACTGCTGCCAGGTTTTTGTCCAGAAGTTGGACGTTAAGCGTGGATCTTGATCGCTGATGATTGCCGATGGGATACTGTGTAAACGCAAGATGTTGATGAGGAATAGTTTCGCTGTCTGCTCGGCTGTAATTGTCGTTTTGCTGGCGGTGAAATGGGCCATTTTTTGTCAAGCTTCGCTTCCCAACGTCTCAAATTTCATGGTGAGTTGTTGAAGCTGGGCTTGCAGTGTCGGCATTGTAGCTGCCCTAGATTGCAACTTGTCAAACGCCTCCTGAGACACGTTCCTAACACTACGACGAGCAAAGGTTTCCGGCATGTTAGGCATGCTGGAAATTTTACCAGACAGGTCTGAGGGTGCACATTCTTTTTTGTTGGAGGAACTTTAACGAGCTCACCTACTAACCGCTGGCCAACCCCCTATTTTGTCGCTCTCCCGATATAAACGGACTACTCCACGGAAGACTAGATGGGCTGGAACGGAGCTTTGATGCCAACTGTTGTAAACTAATCAGAGTAATAACATGTAGTGTAATAAAGGAACCGTGATTCAAGAGTGTCGATACAAATAAGGGCCGAGGCATTTATAGGCACGAACAAGGCTAGCTGAGAACCACGCGAACATGTTGGGGTGGTTCGGTTGGCGAAAGTTGCAGACGCGCCACACGTCGAGGTTTGGGTTCGCAAAGTGGTTCGGGACTGAAGAAGTTAGCCGAGCCTGATCTTCCGAGAGTCGAGGGCGTACGTGCTGTAGTTGAGCCGAGTAAGGAAAAGGGAAATTCTTTATAAGCATCCGTGTTTTAACATTTTACAAATAATATGGAGTGACCTGCTGGGGTTACCCTTGAGAAGATCCTCGGGGAAGGGCCACAGGTGCAGAGCCTGGAGGGCTATGGGCGCACTGACCCGCTATTAACAAGCCCTTTTAACTCAGTGGTTAGTGGTTGAGTTCTGACATGCTATCAGAGCGTTGGTGACTCGGGTTCGTTTTTCAGTGCTAGCGCTGCAGAGGGGCTCGTGTCTTCCACATATCCCAACGAGGGGGGGTGTCGAGTGACCTGCTGGGGTTACCCTTGAGAAGATCCTCGGGGAAGGGCCACAGGTGCAGAGCCTGGAGGGCTATGGGCGCACTGACCCGCTATTAACAAGCCCTTTTAACTTAGTGGTTAGTGGCTGGGTTCTGACAAATAATTCTCCAAAAGAGGTAGACAAACCAGTTTCTCCCCCAACGGGCCCTCAAAATCATTTTGGAAAGTGTGTTCTATTAGGTTTGCTGTTACGATAAGGAAATACTTGCATTCATGAAAGTGACACTCGATACGTAACCCTTGTCGAGTTCAAGTCTATGACGCTGACCACGAAGTGCAACGGTCGTTCACCGTTCACCGACAGTCGAACAGACAAAAGTTCAAAGGTCTGTCACGACAGCAACGACACATAACTGACCCTGTAATACAGCATGGGCAATAAGAGAAACCAGAACGAGCGATAAGGAATGCAGTGTAAGAGAAATACAGTTCATCCAGGATCTCTAGTCCTTATTGTACTGATTTCACCAGAACTGGGGAAAATTACTGCCACAGACTCTCCACAAAATCTTTCATACTTTCGTGGACATGCCCTACTTTCATGGACTGCACATCGAACTTTTGCTTCTCCCGTGGACTTGGTCTATACTTTCGTGGACAGCGGGTATACTTCCATGGACACATGCGAAATTGCAGTAAAAAAACGTAATCAGATTTGTACATGTTGTGACGGGCGGAAAAATAAAATGAAAACGGAAACAGAGTACGTCGCAAATCGTCGTGAGCTACAGTGCCTCCATACCAAATCCGAAGCAGAATGCCGCAATCATGGAAGTGGTAGAGCGGGTATGCCATTATGTCTACGACATTTTACTCGATGTAATACTCCAAGGTCCGGAATTCGATAAGATCGGCCACGATGTACTCCGTCTGTACGGTATACATCTACTGTTGACTTCGCTAAAAAAGCGCAATAAAACACTGTGACCAATCACAACAGTCGCATAATGCCACCGACCATCGAGTCGTGCCACCCGAATTGGGTGCGATCCCAGCATGCGAGTGTCGCCAACCAACCTGCGAGTGCGAGCTCGGAAATTTCTCGTGAACTGTGCTTGGAATTGCCCGGCCAATACGCGCTTGCCAGGGCGATCAGACGTAATCACGACGGACCGGGGGGCGACATCCAGCTGGTACGTCCGTCCACCTGGCACTTTTGTATGCGCGCTGACCTGGGCATGAATCCGCACCCCCTTTTCATCCATTCTGTCTTATTATTTCGGTCCTATTCTAAGCCACATTAGCCCTCACATGACATGCGGCGAAGTCGTTGGTAACCTGGCCTAAGAGCCAATACGCCAAGGCACCCATCGTGAACAGAAAGAGTAAAACGGCCTACGCCACCCCACCTAAAACCGTACGTGCTACTCGATAATCCATTTTGCCCGTAGTGAGCCGCTTCTATTCGTCGTAGTCCATATTTGCGAGTCGCGGATTTGGAGCATAAAGCATACCCCTTGTAGTTACGATTTCTCAAACATAAAGGCGGGTACACTACTGCGCTTGAGAAATACAGTTACGCATCCATGCTTCAAGGCGAAAAATGGGTGTTTGAACATTTCTTAATCCATAAGAGCCTCCATCATATACAAACTGTTTAGATTTCGTAGTTCATGTATTTCCATTCGTTTTTTATTAAAATTTATCAAGAATAAATGGGTTTCTGATTGTATTTTATGATCATTCAAAGTCATACTTTAATACTATTGGGTTTCTGACATACAATGGATTTTTAGAGAAAACACCAGATTGAATAGTATATGTATTGGTTGTAATCCGTATTTATTGATGGAATCATTGTTATAGTTACACATAGTTTTTTTGACATTGATCGTACGGATATTGTTTTCGAGGACTTTAATTATGATTAATTCTAATTCCGACAGCTATATATACATTCTTTATGTTAATAGATTGGATTTCATGTGAGGTGTTGCTATCTGGTTTAATGACGAGATTTAGCCCACTGCACCTGATATACCCTGATGTCGACTGTAGCCCGTACGTTACAGTATCTGCAAGATATCTTAGATTTACGTGAAACAGCTTTCTGACCTGCCTGGTTGCGACACTGTAGCGTGCGACCCTTTGCGATGGTCCTGATTTTGGCAGTTTTGTTTTTCCGCCCGTCACAACGTTTACAGTTCAAACTACGTATTTTAACTGCAATTTCGCGTGTGTCCATGGAAGTATGCCCGTTGTCCACCAAAGTATGGACCGAGTCCACGGGAGAAGCAAAAGTTTGATGTGCAGTCCATGAAAGTAGGGCCTGTCCAGGAAAGTATGAAAGATTTCGTGGACAGTCCCCGGCAGTAAATTTCCCCCAGAACTACCTTCCCTGGTCAACACTGGGCACTCCCATGGGTGCCATCTCTTCTGGCCTCCAGCTCCCATTCAGTTTTGCTCTCATTTGTCCCCCCTGTAGCGTGGCACTCCGAAAAATGCTCGAATTCGAACGCTGTCGTACTGCACCGTAGTAAATCGTGCTGTTACACATGATTTCGTGTCAGAACCACTTTTAAAGTTCGAACTAGAAAGTGGCGCACACCCTCACTGCTCTTCCCAGCGAAACCATTTCCGCGGTCTTCCGATCCGACGCGCCCCTGCCGCAAAGGGGCGGAGCTGCAAACCTCCGCCAAACTTCCCACTCCGCTATGCCGACATTTTTCCCCTGACAAGTGACAGCAGTGCAGCCTTCCCCCCCTCGCCCCGTTTCCTCCCTTGGCGAGGCCAGGCCACCAGCCCACCCAACCATAAAGATCCAGTACAGTGCGCGACAAGGCTATCCCGAAGTACGAGATTGGGCTCAATGTCGCCCTCGCTCGGTCCGCGAGCTCAATGTGTGAAAATCGCACGACAAGCCGGGGGCTCGAGCCCGGCCCTGGGGGAGTGTTACACTGTACCACTGCGTAAATATAAAACTCGCAACCAATTATAGCACACGACCAAAACATGCACAGTAAACAAGCGACACAACGGGGAAACCAATGTTTCGCGAGCAAATCAACAAACGACGTCACCGCCATTAATTGCGCGATCCGGGGTCTGGTTTCCGCGTTTGGTGTTGTGGGGGGGCGAGGTTTCGCTCACTGTAGGCTTCGCATGTATTTTTCGTCGCTCACTGTTCACTTTCGTCCAGTCCTCCACTAATGTTCGTACGGGAACTGTTTACACTTGAGTGGAGCTCGATGTTGTTTCGGAGTCTTTTTTGTGAAAATTCGGAATTTCACTGCAACACTGAGCCGCAGGCTCGGGATTTGGCTCCGCTCGAGCCGAATCTCGCCCCCGCTTAGGGCGTGTCATTAGCGTCTGTTTTCGGCCTAAACCCTACCGAACAGTTTTAATGTTTTATTTGGTCCTTCTGAAAAGCAATTCACCTTACCAAACCGCATTCAGACGAGCGCTTAGGACGCGCCCTTAGGGCGTGTTGATCGTACATTTGCTGTTCGTTTTTTTCCAGGGCATTAGGGTACCAATAGATCAAGAACGGTTCCACACCAAATTAATCCGGACGAAGTGAGCTGTAACGTACGAGCTGGACACGCCCTTCCCAACCAGCCTTAGTTGGGTGATTCAAGCGAAACGAGCAATTCTTATGGGAAGGTGCATTTGAGGGTTCGCCCTCACCACACTCCGCCATAGTTTTGCATCAACCCAGTCTACCTTACTTCTGCTGGGTGAGCCAGTGACTTATTTCTGGTTCCCAGCACGATCGATAGTCTTCTGGCTGCTAGAGCCTGTGACCTGCAGTGGTTCTGTTTGTTCGTAGTACATTGTCACTACCACGCCGCCTCCATGGTTGAAAGCATGAACTAATCTCTAACAGCTCTCGCCTTGAGTTCTACAGCTTTTCCTGGTTCTGTCACCAACCTCGTGTCTAGACTATGAAAGAAAGCTTCCGGTAGTTTACCTGTAACTCTCTCAGCCGCATTCACATTCATTCTGCGCAGCGCCGCATTTTTTTTATGATGACAGATCTTAGAATATTAACCGTTGCCGGGTCCCACTAGTAGCACATCTACGACCAGCATGGCAGCTCTGTCGCAGGAATCGGCACCGCACTCGAGAACAATCGACTATGGCAGGTACATCTCCACGCATCGTTTCAAGCAGCGAAATATGTGCGGATGGTGAAACGACGCGTGCGTTCCTCCTGGTGCACATCGTGGTGGTAGATTTCCACGCATCGTTTCACCTTATCGTCATTCCGGCTTCTGCATGATGGCACCATACTGCTCATCTCAACCTGCACATAACTCCATATGGCGTCCCTAGTAGCGCGAGTTCCCCTCGTTCGTTGTCATTCAGGGTTCATACTTCCGAGCGCCTCAGAAGAAACACCCAGGGTGACCCTTTCTTATCTCGAATTGCATTGGTTGTAGGTCGACTTCGATGAATCGGAGAAAAGGCGCGGGGAAAGGCGACTTAGCGAAGCTGATATGGTGTTTCATCGGCGTGGTCGGCACGCTCATCATCTACGGCATTGGCCAGGTGCGTCACTGCAGCCATGGCGGTTCATGGGTATCTCCAATTCCAATTCCCTTTCAGGTGACCGTGATTCCTTCACCCTAGGTTCAATTCCGTGCCGGCTCGGATTCCGTCCATGTTCACCGGGTCCACATCCTATTTTCCCACTCGCGTTCGTGCCTCTGCTCTGTCGCTTATCTGGCTGTCACGCCACGTTTGGTGGGTCGAATCTGTTTCGTGCCTGTAACGCAGGAGCGGATAATGAAGTTTCCGTATGGCGACAGGGATGAGGACTCGGAGTACTTCCAGCACTCGCTCTTCATCGTGCTCTGTAACCGCCTCATGACGCTGTCCGTGGCCGTCGTCGTGCACCTGGTAAGGCCAGTCATGGTAAGGCGAGAGCAAGGCAAGTGCTGAGTCGTCTCGACTCTCGACGCTCCATCGTGCCCTGTAATCGCCTCATGACGCTGTCTGTGGCAGTCGTCGTGCATCTGGTAAGGCGAGGCCCGATAAGGCAAGACAATGGCAACTGTTGAAACGCCTGTGTAACCGCCTCATGACGCCATGTGTCGCAGTCGTCGTGCACCTGGTAAGTCAATGCCTTTGGTTCGTACTTTTAAAGATATCAAAGATATGTTGCTGCGTTTCTAGCTCCAAGGGCCCTCTGTGACACCTTATATATGGTATGCGTGGACGTGCCATGCCCAGCTGTGCCGCGCCATCTGATCTGATTTCATGCCTTTTGGTGCAAACAACCGTGCCAGCGAAGGTGACCACTCCACCAGCGCGCATGGTTGCACGACGACTCATGTTGCACCACAAATTGCATCTTGTGCGCGTGAATTATATGGATCATGACTGCATGTCCCACACACTGTGAGATCTCCTATACCAAACAGTGAAAATGACCCCCCCCCTCCCCCCCCCCCGCCCCCCCTCCCACACGTGGCACACCTGCAGGTGACAGGCGCGTCCTTGGCTCTGGTGGCTCCTATTTACGCCTACGGCGCTGTTTCTCTCTCCAACGTCATCTCCTCCGGATGCCAATACGAGGTACACCGTTTGTACCTGGCATGGCGGCATGCAGTAGTGCTGTTCACGAGAAAAGGCAAAAGAATCCCATACACCTGTGGAAAAGGCAGTGCGGAGTGTACTCGGCAAACTCAGAAACAACTGGACCCAACCCATCAATTTTCTGCAGGCACCATTCTGTCATACCCTTCACACACCCCCCCTCCTCCCTCCTCTCTTCAACCCCCCCCCCCCGCCCCCCCCCCCTCACACACACACTCCTTTATTCCCACAGTCCTTACGTTCATCTCGTTCGTCCCTGGTCAACTCATTCCCATTCTGTCCCTTTCTCGCCCCCTTGCCCTCCCCCCTGAAGGCTCTCAAGTACGTGAGCTTCCCCCTGCAAACCATTGCCAAGTCATCCCGCATGGTGCCAGTCTTGGTAAGCCGTAGCCGCGCATGGCATGGGAAATCCCAAGGGAGGGTGCAGCCACACGGTTTATCCCAGATTCGGGTGCTCTGAGTTGCATGAAGGGTATAACACTGCATTATATAACACTGCATTATATAACACTGCATTATGTAACACTGCAGATCTGGGGAACGCTGATCTCCCGCAAGCAGTACAAGCCGCGGGAGTACATCATTGCCATCACCATCATCCTCGGCTCCTGCCTCTTCTTCCTCAACGTGGTGAGCACGCTAACATGCCAATTTTGCTTTCTTTCTATGAATCCGTTAATTCCTGTATGGCGCTCTTGAGATCTCTCTCCCTTCCCCTCCCCATGCCTGCTCCCTTAAATGCCCCCCTTTTATTCCCTTTCCCCTACCCGTTTGTTCCCATTTGCTTCCTTCGGCTCTTCCATCTTCTCTTCTCTTTACTTGTCTGTTCATCATTGGGTCACACTTCTGACAAGTCTCACAAGTCTCACAAGTCTCACAAGTCTCACCGTATGACCCTTCCTTCTTCCATCGCCTCCTCCCTATCCTCCTCTCCCTGCTCCCCTTCCTCCCTTCCCCATCCCTCCACCTTTCTGCCCCTCTCCCCTTCGCCTATCTCCACCTGCTCCCCCCTCTCCCCCCCCCCCCCTGCTCTCGCCTCTGTCCCTGCACTTGCCCACCCTCCCCCTCTCTCCCCCCCTCCACTGTGGCCGCCCGTGCCCCCGGGGTTAAGATGTCAAGACTGCACGCACCAGTGTGAAGAGCACATTTACTGGCCTCATGCTCATGCTCGGATACCTGGGGTAAGGCTGGGGCCGGATACCTGGGGTAAGGCTGGGGCCGGATACCTGGGGTAAGGCTGGGGCCGGATACCTGGGGTAAGGCTGGGGCCGGATACCTGGGGTAAGGCTGGGGCCGGATACCTGGGGTAAGGCTGGGGCCGGATACCTGGGGTAAGGCTGGGGCCGGATACCTGGGGTAAGGCTGGGGCCGGATACCTGGGGTAAGGCTGGGGCCGGATACCTGGGGTAAGGCTGGGGCCGGATACCTGGGGTAAGGCTGGGGCCAGATACCTGGGGTAAGGCTGGGGCCGGATACCTGGGGTAAGGCTGGGGCCGGATACCTGGGGTAAGGCTGGGGCCGGATACCTGGGGTGACATAAACTGCTGACATCATGCTTGGATACTTGGGGCAAGGTGTCGCATGTTTGGGTATATATGGGATCAGAGTGCGCGCACCACTATGACGTGGCGAGCTTGAATACTCATGCTCCGTTACCTGGGGCAAGCTAACCGAGACAGAATATAGAGCACTTTATTCTGCCAAATGAATGAACAGAGTGCAATGCAACGTGGGTGTGTGCGTGTGTGGACTGAGCTGTGGATTGCTGGGTTTGGTTTGGATGACTAAGGGGGTTTTGACAAGACCATGGAGTGGAGTCTTTGACAGACATCTCAAACACAAGGGCAGAGTGCACCCTCCACTCACGCCCATCTGATCCCACCATTACCTTTCAATCTGCCCTTTCCCGACATGCCACTCTCCTTTCCTCCCTCCCCTTCCCTCCACCTCTTCACCCATCTTTCCTCTCTGCCCGTCCGTACCTTACACCCCATCCCCCCAGCTTTGACGGGTTCACCAACACGTTTCAGGACAAGCTGTTTGAGGGCTATGACATGCCCGCAGCCAACCAGGTGCTCTACATCACGCTCTGCTCCTCAGTCATCAGTCTAGTGGGTGAGACGCCCTCCCCTCTTTCTGCAGCAACCTCAACATGTGATGCTTTCGCTGCAGCAACCCCAAAGTAGCCAACTACGTGCTTTACATCACGCTCTGCTCTTCAGTCATCAGCCTAGTGGGTGAGACGCCCTCCCCTCCACACTTTCGTAAGCAACCTCTCTATGCGACGCCCTTGCTGTAGCAGCCTAAGGTAGCCAACTACGTGCTCCTACATCACGCTCTGTTCCTCAGTCATCAGCCTGCTGGGTGGGAAAAGAACCCCTTTCTTCAGCAGACGCCCTTGTTGCACGTGCTCGTAAGTAGCCAACCAGCTGCTCCACATCACGCTCCGCTCCCCAGCCATCAGCCTCCTCGGTGTGTAGCCCGTTTTGCTCTAGATGCACGGCCTGCACCAGACATCGTCTCATCACTAGTCCCCACGCTGCCAATCAGGTGCTCCGCATCACGCTCTGCTCCCCACTCATCAGCCGCACCGCATGGGAGGGTGGGTGGGTGGGTGGGTGGGTGGAACCCATTTCCTGTACTAGTTGCCTTATGTGAGATGCCATATGCGCGACAGCCCCAGCGTAACCAGCCAATTAGGTGCTCTGCCTCGTGCTCTGCTCCTCGCTCCTCAGCCTCCCTGGTCTTCATCCATTTCTTGGACGAGATGCCTGAGGTGCTCAGGTGCCTTTCCTGTATGAGGCACCTTGCCTGTCATGCCCCCTAAGGAAGTAACGAACTAACGACCACATGCCCTACATCTACATCACATGCTGCTCCTTATCAGCTTGCGACATCACAGTTGCTCTGTCTGCCAGGACTTAGCAGTGGCCATCTCGTCAATCACGGTGCATCATGGCCATCTCGTCAATCACGGTGCATCATGGCCATCTCATTCATCATGCTATGGCCTCTCTGCCTCTCTCTACCCCCCCCCCCCCATCAGGTCTGCGCCAGGACTTAGCAGTGGCCATCTCATTCATCATGCGCCACCCTGACTGTGCTCTCCACATCACAGTCCTCTCAGTGGTACGTCCGAAATGAAGGTCCCACTCGTGCACTTGAGATGCTCATTCTCTCCATCCATCATCTCATGTGCTCTCGTCTTCCTCTACCTCCATCCATCTTCCGTCTCTCCCTTAAAGTCTTCCTTCTCTCCCTTAAAGCCCGCATCCCAAATCGTTCATGCTTTAGAAACATGACGCACTTTAGTTAGATATTTTGGGAAACTGTCGTGACTGATTTTGGCGAAACTGTCACGAGTGTACCAATTTTCGCTGAGTCAGCGATTCCCACTGGTTGGGTTGGGATGCAAAAGTCCCAAATTGCAATGACCCCACTCTTCAAGTTCCCTCAGTCCAACCCACGCAAACCCCCCAGTCAAGTTTTCAACCAATCAGATTCCTTAGCGATGTGCGTAACCCCAGTTTCGTGAAAAAGCACAAAATTATCGTCAGATTTCAAGATTCTAAAACTTGAACCACACGGCACGCAATTTGGGACTCGGGCTTTAAACCAGGCAGCCACTGCGTGTCGGTTCGACATCGTCCACACCACACCATCCCTGCATGTCTACCTGCCCTTCCTCTTTTTTTCTACCTCCAATCACCATCCCCCCCGCTCTCACCCCAGGCGGCCACCATCAGCCAGTTCTCCATCTCCTACAGCATCAAGATCATCCCTGAACCAGACCCCCTTCCCTTCTCTTCCTTCCTCCCCCCAGGCGGCCACCATCAGCCAGTTCTCCATCCCCCACACCATCAGCACGCCTCCACCACCCTCCCTTCCCCCCTTCCTCAACCATCTTCCCTTTTCCCACTACACCACCCCTCTTCTTGCCCCCCCAGGCGGCCATCACAGGCCAGATCTTCATCTCCTACGCCATGAAGCCACCTGTCCGTCTTCCTTTCCACCCTTCCTATTTCCCTGTTCTCTACTTGTTCTCTACCCCCCTGTGATCTTTTTCTGCCCCTCCGCAGGCAGCCACCATAAGTCAGTTCTTCATCTCCTACACCATCAAGACCTTTGGCGCTCTCACCTTTGCCACCATCATGACCACGCGCCAGGTGAGTGCGTGTTTATGGGTGTGTAGTAGGGGAAACGGGGGGGGGTGGGGGGGAGGGGGAGTGGGGGGGGGAGCTGCCGGGTGAAGGGGGGGCGGCTTCTGCGGGCGGCTGGCTCCGTGCCTAAAGTTTTCATTTGATACACCCTTTCCCCATTTTGAAACCCCTTCTCTCTTTCAATTCTCCCCTTTCTCATCCCATGCCCCTTGTTTGTGTCCGTCCACCCCTTCCCTGCCTCACCAGCTTCTCAGTATAGTATTGTCATCCACAGTGTACGGACCTCCACTCTCCTCCACACAACTAGTCGGCACAGTAAGTGCTCATCCCTCCTCTGTTCCCACCAAGGTGCAAAAAAGGGGTTTTTTTTTTTCAAAATTTGACCGTATGGTACAGTACCGAAGGTTTCGGCCGTATAACACGATAAAAAAATGTCAGAAGTGCCATTTTAAGGGTGGTACAAAAAAATGTTTTTTTTTGGCCGAATTTTCAAATAAGGGGGTGAAATGTACCGCCGGAAAGCGCGGATCTGGCATTTCGACCGCGGAAATGCGCGGATCTCGCGTTTATACGGCCGAAATGTGCTGATCTGGCATTTCGCCAGCCAAATGCACGGATCTCGCGTTTCGATGGGAGACATGCGCGGATCTGGTATTTCGCTCGCCAAAATGCGCGGATCTCGCATTTCGCCGGCCAAAATGCGCAGATCTATTATGCGCATGGATCTGCCAAAAAACATAGAGTTTACAAAAAAAAAACCAAAAAAACGGCGGTTGTATCATAAAATGGCCGGAAAATACGGTCGTATTAAACGGCCCGTATAATACGATCACCGTATTTTTGCACCCTGCCCACCATCCCCTCTCAAAAGGGCATTCCATCCCAACCGCCTCTGCATCCCCGGTTATGAGAGCTAATCCCCGGTGCTTCTCCCTCAACCCTCTGTTAAGATAAGCTAACATGAGCTAGCTTGGGGGAGAAGCCATGAATGGCGAGAGGTTTAGGTGCTAGGAGAGAATGTCGAGAGAGAAGAGGGTGAGATTAGAAGAGAGAGGGATACAAGGAGGGAGTTGTACCCTCTACAGTAGGATCCAGCAAGACCTACTAAGCCTACAATTATAGATATAAAGTATATTTAACACCCTCTCCTTGTCTCCCAAATCCATTCTACTGGACCTGACCATGCCAAGGTCGCCTCGACTCAAAGCCGCTTCACCACAACAACTGCCACCAACTGAGCCTCACCGCTTTCTCATGACAGTTCACCCCATGTCTTCCTTTCCTCCCCAGCTTCTCTCTGCCACTGCACAATCCCACTTCCCATCACCAGGTAGTGGTTTTCAGCGCACTCTACACAAGAGCTGGTATGCCGTGACCAGAGCTGCAGCAGCGGCAGCCAGCCTTTGAGTCGACTCAAACATTGCACTATCCCATTCCCATCACCAGGTTGTGGTATTCAGCGCACTTTACAACAAGAGCTGGTATGCCGTCTGAAGAGCTCTCATGGCTCTTCACCCCCTGTCTCTCCTTCTTCCCCTACCTACTCTCTGCCATTTGCCGCCGCGCTACCCCACTTCCCATCTCCAGGTGGTGGTCTTCAGCGCACTCTACTACAAGAGCTGGTATGCTGTCACAAGAGCAGCAGCAGCCAGCCAATCAGCTTCCAGCAGCAGCAGTGGCGGCATTGGCAGCAGTAGCAATCTATTAGCCACACCCCCTGGGAGCAACACCACACCCACCTCAGCCTCCAACCATTCCCAATCCTCTGGTGGTGGTATAGAAATGAGTGCCAGTGCCAGTGCCAGTGGGGGAAAGGATCAAGAGAAGCTGGGAGTTGCCATCACCCCGCCTTCTAGGGACCTAGTTAGCCCGTCGTCTGGGTCGTTGTTCAGAGTGATTAAGAACAGGTTGAGTGGAGGGGGTAGTAGCGGCGGGATAAGGGAAGAAGAATCGCCTCTCATGGGTGGGAGGGATGGGGAAGGTGGGAGTGGGGCAGGCTCATCTGACAAGTTGTGACATGGTGAGGAACGAACATATTGACATTTTGTCAGCAAATGATTTTAAGTGAAGAAGTGTATAAAACTTTGCGTTGGGCTTCACCTGATCAATCGTAAGGAGTGTATGTTGCTGTCCCTGATTTTCTTACAGATTTTTACGGTTTCCACGCATTAGCCACGCCTTATGGGGGGGCGACATTGGGCTCGATCGGAGCCAAATCCCGAGCCTGCGGCTCAGTGTCGAGCTGAAATGCCGAAATTGCTCACAAATTTGAAACACGACACTCAGCCGCGCCCAAGTGTAAACAATACCCGGACAGACTTCGCAAGTCAAATGGCGAAAGGGAACAGTGAGTGAGGAGGCACATAGGCGACAAAAATTAGTGCGCGAAAAAACACTTCCCGGGTCGCCAAACGTTGTGTCACCTCTGCCGCAGCTGAGCCTCGGTTTCCCCATTTTTTCGTTGGGTTACTGTGCATGTTTAGTTTCGTGTTTTTTCGCGGACTGAGCGAGCGTCACATTGAGCCGAATGCGGAACGGACTGTTCGTGGATGCGATCTGCAGTTTCGCATTCAGCATTTTGCATGTGTGCAGCATCATGTTCTGTGCTTTGTATCTCATCTCTCGTCAATTCCCTCAAACCTAGGGGAATTGGTAGTCTCTGTACGTACTAACCAGACATGGAGGGACAAGGTCGACCTGTGAGAATCGCCTCACCAGATGGTGTCCGTAGAAGCCTTGGGAGGTGGGACGCATGGCTCACGCCAATTCAGACACCACTTAGTTGACACGCGGAAGGCCTGCATGGTAGTAACTTGCTGAGTGTCGCTTTCTTCAACCACAATCTTCTGCGACTCGTCACGAGCCGCATCTCAAGTCACTCGGAGATGAGTGATTCTGCCATAGCCTGCGTTACTTGCAACAGCGCTGAGCAAGCAATTAGTAATTGCTACGTCGCACAGCTTCTAGTATTGCTCTGTCGTGCATCGCGTAGCTTGCATCGCGTAGCTTGCCTGCTTGTCAGTGTCCAGCCTTTTCAACGCTAACCATCAGAAATCTGCAGTGCGGATGATGGAGAAGACGGAAATCGACTCACTGAAGTTCGACGTGGCTGCTCTCAAGGGGGAGCTAGCAACGGTGAAGAGGGAGTTGGCACAACTGAAGGAGAACCCGTCAAAGCCCAAGGGAAGGGCATTGAATGTGGAGGAAGAATACATCCGGAGTGATGGGGATCGCAGGAAGATATGGGAGGTGCGTATTTGTTTTTTCAGCTATCATCTGCTGATGTTTTCTTGTCATGATTTCTTTCAGGCAATCCGTTTCAATTCGGGTGTGGGCACACTGCGTTTGTTGAAGCTTTCCGGGCTTTCTAACGCCATCCTGGGCCATATTTCCACCATGACCCACCTGGAGATGCTTGATCTGGAAAGGTGCTCAGGCTTCACTGCACAAGGCATCAAGTACCTCTACGATGGGCTGTTCAGATTGAAGCACCTTGTTTTGAGCAACACAGGCATTCTCGACGCAGACTTGGAAGGTATTGGTGCATTGGGACGACTCGAGAAACTCGTTCTCATCGGCACGAAGGTGACTGATGCTGGCCTGGCACACCTTGCACGCCTTGCCTCACTCGAGTGTCTGGATCTTGAACGGTGCTCCGGTGTGACCTCGGCTGGCATGGTCCACGCTGGGAAGTTGACATCTCTTAAGTTCCTCGATTTGGAGGGCACTAAGGTGACCAATGATGGGCTGAGGCACCTGAAGTTCCTGACCAATTTGAAGGCGCTCCACTCGCCGTATGGAACCGGTGATGCTGGCCTCCAACCAACACGTCAAGCAGCTGTTGAGCTTGGTGGTATTACGCATGGCCGACCCGACAGCCACTGAGCAAGGAGTGAGGTGCTTGAAGTCCATGCCAAGGCTGCTGAGGGTGACAACCAATTCAAAGCGACTGGAGCCAGTGCTAAAATCCATGTTCTTCGCAGAAGGGTTGTTGCCAGAGAATTGTCCAATCCAATAGAATGGTGATTGTTTTGCGGCTAGACGGTGGTAAATGATTGCTAAGATGTGGTAGTTTCTGAAACCTGCGCCTCTGTCAGTCTCAGAGTCTGAGGAGAAGCTGTGATAAGTCTATAATTTGGCCCAAATCCAGCACAGCAACGACGCAGCAGATTTCTGGTCCTACCGTACATGCCCTTGCTGCTAGCCATGTGGCTCAGTGGGTGCAGCATACAGCAACTGGGAATAGTCTCTCTCCCAAATGTGGTACCACCACATGAAACATATTGCAAGCGCTGAACGTAAATGTACAGGTTGTACTTTTGCTGCACATAGTCACCACCACTACGAGTAACCTCCCATACACTCGTGCCATCACAGAATCACGAGGACCAGTAACTCTTCCCCATGCGCCTGTCTTCTGCTTCTGGCTATCATGGCATCTGCTTCTGCTGCACGTAATCACTGGGGGTGGCCTCCCATATAATCGTGCCATCGCAGGAGCACAGCGACTTGTAGTTCTGCCCCACGCCTGCACTGCGGGCAATCACTGCTGCTGCCAAGCCCTTGCTGCTCCCCCTGTCCGCTCCGTCATACACCGCCACGGCACGGCCAATGAGGTCCCACACCTTGAGGCGGCTGCTTGGGGCCGCATAGGACGCATGGCCTTTGCCATCCGTTTCAAGCACCCCCAAGTCACCCGCGGGCTGTGGTTGGAGGGGAGGAGAGACGAGGGAGGAGAGGGGATAAGGAGGGAAGAAGAAGAGAATCATGGCCCTTGCCATCCGTTTGAGGCAATCCTTAAACAACTGGGGATGGCAGTGTGATTGTATTGCAATGGAGAGAAGGGCGGACGAAGGGCTCAAAATGAAACGAAGTGAATGTGGGCTGGTTGTAACGGAAGGAGGAGGAAAGGAAAAGAGGGAAGATGAGGAGAGGGCAAGGAACGAGAGGAAAAGGGCAAGGCGATGACAGGTCAGATGGCTAGTGAGCATGCGATATCTTAAGCAGCAGCAGCAGCAGCAGAAGCAGCAGCAACAGCAGCAGATGACACCTCCCCCAGGTAGCACAAGACCCTCCATGGAAATCCCCAACCTTCCATGCGAAGCAAGAGCTCCCAAGGCACGTACCCCATCAGTGGTAGAAGGCGCCTCCCCCGGATAGCACCTCCCTGTGCTATCAGCCCCCCTGGTGAGGTCCCCAAACTCGTTGACGGCCCACGCATGCGAGGTTGACGGCGAGAGGCCGTCGAACTGAGCCTCCACTCGCACCTCCTCCATGCTCACCTGGAGGGAGTGAGAGAGGGAGAGGGGCGGGGGGGGAACGGGGAAGGGGGAACATGTAGAACTCGTTTACTGCCATGCATGGGAGGTGGATGATGAGGGCCACGGGGGGGAGGGGGTAAGAGGAGAGGAGGGGGAGGAGAAAGCGGGAGGGAGTGGAGAAAGATGGGTCGAAGGGATCCCCGAACTCGTTGACAGCCCATGCGTGGCGGCGGATGGTGAGAGGCCGTCAAACTGTGCGCCCCTCCACTCCACTCGCGCCTCCTCCATGGTCACCTGGAGGGGTGAGACGAAGGTGGGCGGAAGGGGGGAGGCAGAGGCGGAAGGGGGGAAAAAAAAGGATAGGGTAGGAGGTAGAAACGGTGAGGGAAGGAGAAAAGCAGGTCGCAAGGGTTTAGACGGCTTCTCTGCATGCTCAGACGCGGAGTGGGGGGGGAGGGGGTGGGAGGGGACCTGAGTCAACTCAAAAGTCACGCGGAGCGGAGTACGGTGGGAGGAGTGGGATGTGGGCTGTTGAGGTCGGAAATGGCATGTGGGTCTGATCTTGAAAGATCCTTTAAAATCTCGAACAAGTAACACATCTCACCTGACCTAGTCCGCCAACCTGCCCAGCCGGTCTAGAAGACGAAAAAAACGACTCACCTGAGCGAACCGTACTACACCGTGAATCACCGGGCCCTTGAACTCCGCCACTGCTGCCGTGAGTGCGAGCTCTGGGGTGTGAAGGGGCAGACGGAAGGAGGATAGGTTGGATGGACAGGAGGACAGGCGGAACGAGGAGGTGAGGGGACAGACTTGCGGATCGCACCATGGCATGAACCACAGGCACCTTGACTCCGCCACTGCTGCTGTCAGAGCCAGCTATGCCGGCGTTGCTGGAAGGGATGAGAGGCGAGGGGAGCAAGAGTGCTGAAGTGGGGAGGAGCGGAAAGAGAAGGCAAGGCAGGAAGATTGGAGTGGCGGAGGGTGGAATGCAATGGTACAGGAGAGGGGGGATCCAATACATGGACTATTCAAAGGGCAGAAAGAAACCAGTTGTGGAGAAACGAGGAGAAAACGAGTGCTCACAACTGCAACCACAGGGAACAGCAGAAGCAGCGTAGTCCTAAATGTCCAAAGATCCCTCCTTAAGACTCATTCCTGAGAGGAATCAGCCATCTGCCACGAGTCCTCACTGCAGCAATCTCCCATGACGAGTCTCTCAGTGAAGGTTACTCACGTGAAGGATAGCCCCGCCCTGAGAGCCTGGCCTGCCTGCCGCTCTTCTTCAACAATGTGACACTGCCTGACACACTCCACTTGCCCCTACGTGCCCCACAACGTGACTCAGTACGAAATCGCTCGCATGAACGCCCTGCCTGCCTATGCCTTTATAATGACTCACGTGAGGGGTCCCCTTGCTCGACAAGGTGGGCCTTCCTTTCCTGCCGCTCTTCATCAGCGCCTCCTCAAGAAGACACAACGAGGCACTACCCACCCAAACACTCACCACGTGCCCTATGCGTGGTTTACTGTGGCCATATGACATGAGAAGCCACTCACTCACGTGAGGGGTCGCCTTGGCCGATAAGTCGGGCCTTCCTGCCGGTCTTCTTCAACGCCTCCTCCAGCTCAGCCAGTGTGGCACTGCCCAGCACGCGGACGACCTGCGAGTCCAGGCTGATGTCCACTGACTTCACACCTAGGAAAAAAAGGGGGAGGGGGAGGGAGGGAGTGGTTGGGAGGGGGGGGGTGGGGGTTGGTTTGGGAAAAGGGGGGGGGGGAGGGAGGTAGCGTACACATCAACCCACTGTCCAACACTCGCACGACCTGCAAATCGAGGCTGATGCCCACTGACTAGACGCCTGATGGTGGGGAGAGAAGGGGCAAGACGGGAAAAGGGGCATCCGAGCTTAACGAATGCACTGCACAGGGCAGCACATAAGCCTGCTCAGAGTCTTAACTGCTGTGCTTTTGAGGCGCCTCAAAAGACGAATGGAGACCTGAGAGTATGAACTGCTGTGCACTGACTTGACGGCTGGGACGAGGGGAGCCTGCGCGGGGGAGAAATGAAGGCCGCGAAGGGACGACTTGACTTCACGTCACTTCACAATCCAACATACGAATGGCGACCTGAGAGTCTTAACTGATGTGCACTGACTTGACGGCTGGAATGAGGATGGAGGTCGGGGAAACGGGGGAGAGGGGAGAAGGGGGGTAGAGAGTTTAGGAAGGGGGGAGGACGAGGAAGGGGAAGAAACAGTACCTGCCGAGTGCTCATTGACTTCATGCAAGCTCCAGAAAAAAACGCAAGCAGGCCAGCGCGCATGCACACATTCATTGCACACATTCATTGCACAGATTCATTGCACACATTCATTGCACAGATTCACTGCACATCGCATTCTCATGCTCAAACGATTGTTGACCGCCCTTATCCGACCGAACCTTTATCAACCCACCATCCCATGCCTGCCACCATCCCATGCCTGCCACCATCCCATGCCTGCCACCATCCCATGCCTGCCACCATCCCATGCCTGCCACCATCCCATGCCTGCCACCATCCCATGCCTGCCACCATCCCATGCCTGCCACCATCCCATGCCTGCCACCATCCCATGCCTGCCACCATCCCATGCCTCTCACCATCCCATGCCTCCCACCATCCCATGCCTCCCACGATTCCAAGCCCCCCCTACCCACCTTCCACGGGCTCCATCTTCTGGCGCACGTTCTTGACGCAGTTCTCACACTTCATGTCCACCATGAACTCCGTCTGAGGGGGAGGCAGAGAGGGAGGCAGAGAGGGAGGCAGAGAGGGAGGCAGAGAGGGAGGCAGAGAGGGAGGCAGAGAGGGAGAGAGGGAGACAGAGAGGGAGAGAGAGAGGGAGAGAGGGAGAGAGAGGGGGAGGCAGAGAGGGAGAGAGAGAGACAGAGAGGGAGGCAGAGAGGGAGGCAGAGAGGGAGAGAGGGAGACAGAGAGGGAGAGAGAGAGGGAGGCAGAGAGGGAGAGAGGGAGACAGAGAGGGAGGCAGAGAGGGAGGCAGAGAGGGAGAGAGGGAGACAGAGAGGGAGAGAGAGAGGGAGAGAGGGAGAGAGAGGGGGAGGCAGAGAGGGAGAGAGGGAGACAGAGAGGGAGGCAGAGAGGGAGGCAGAGAGGGAGAGAGGGAGACAGAGAGGGAGAGAGAGAGGGAGAGAGGGAGAGAGAGGGGAGGCAGAGAGGGAGAGAGGGAGACAGAGAGGGAGGCAGAGAGGGAGGCAGAGAGGGAGAGAGGGAGACAGAGAGGGAGAGAGAGAGGGAGAGAGGGAGAGAGAGAGGGAGGCAGAGAGGGAGAGAGGGAGACAGAGAGGGAGGCAGAGAGGGAGGCAGAGAGGGAGAGAGGGAGACAGAGAGGGAGAGAGAGAGGGAGAGAGGGAGAGAGAGGGGGAGGCAGAGAGGGAGAGAGGGAGACAGAGAGGGAGGCAGAGAGGGAGGCAGAGAGGGAGAGAGGGAGACAGAGAGGGAGAGAGAGAGGGAGAGAGGGAGAGAGAGAGGGAGGCAGAGAGGGAGAGAGGGAGACAGAGAGGGAGGCAGAGAGGGAGGCAGAGAGGGAGAGAGGGAGACAGAGAGGGAGAGAGAGAGGGAGAGAGGGAGAGAGAGGGGGAGGCAGAGAGGGAGAGAGGGAGACAGAGAGGGAGGCAGAGAGGGAGGCAGAGAGGGAGAGAGGGAGACAGAGAGGGAGAGAGAGAGGGAGAGAGGGAGAGAGAGAGGGAGGCAGAGAGGGAGAGAGGGAGACAGAGAGGGAGGCAGAGAGGGAGGCAGAGAGGGAGAGAGGGAGACAGAGAGGGAGAGAGAGAGGGAGAGAGGGAGAGAGAGGGGGAGGCAGAGAGGGAGAGAGGGAGACAGAGAGGGAGGCAGAGAGGGAGGCAGAGAGGGAGAGAGGGAGACAGAGGGAGAGAGAGAGGGAGAGAGGGAGAGAGAGAGGGAGGCAGAGAGGGAGAGAGGGAGACAGAGAGGGAGGCAGAGAGGGAGGCAGAGAGGGAGAGAGGGAGACAGAGAGGGAGAGAGAGAGGGAGAGAGGGAGAGAGAGGGGGAGGCAGAGAGGGAGAGAGGGAGACAGAGAGGGAGGCAGAGAGGGAGGCAGAGAGGGAGAGAGGGAGACAGAGAGGGAGAGAGAGAGGGAGAGAGGGAGAGAGAGAGGGAGGCAGAGAGGGAGAGAGGGAGACAGAGAGGGAGGCAGAGAGGGAGGCAGAGAGGGAGAGAGGGAGACAGAGAGGGAGAGAGAGAGGGAGAGAGGGAGAGAGAGGGGGAGGCAGAGAGGGAGAGAGGGAGACAGAGAGGGAGGCAGAGAGGGAGGCAGAGAGGGAGAGAGGGAGACAGAGAGGGAGAGAGAGAGGGAGAGAGGGAGAGAGAGAGGGAGGCAGAGAGGGAGAGAGGGAGACAGAGGGGAGGCAGAGAGGGAGGCAGAGAGGGAGAGAGGGAGACAGAGAGGGAGAGAGAGAGGGAGAGAGGGAGAGAGAGGGGAGGCAGAGAGGGAGAGAGGAGACAGAGAGGGAGGCAGAGAGGGGAGAGAGGGAGAGAGGGAGACAGAGAGGGAGGAGAGAGGGAGGCAGAGAGGGAGAGAGGAGACAGAGAGGGAGGCAGAGAGGGAGGCAGAGAGGAGAGAGGGAGACAGAGAGGGAGAGAGAGGGAGAGAGAGAGAGAGGGGAGGCAGAGAGGGAGAGAGGGAGACAGAGAGGGAGGCAGAGAGGGAGGCAGAGAGGGAGAGAGGGAGACAGAGAGGGAGAGAGAGAGGGAGAGAGGGAGAGAGAGGGGGAGGCAGAGAGGGAGAGAGGGAGACAGAGAGGGAGGCAGAGAGGGAGGCAGAGAGGGAGAGAGGGAGACAGAGAGGGAGAGAGAGAGGGAGAGAGGGAGAGAGAGGGAGGCAGAGAGGGAGAGAGGGAGACAGAGAGGGAGGCAGAGAGGGAGGCAGAGAGGGAGAGAGGGAGACAGAGAGGGAGAGAGAGAGGGAGAGAGGGAGAGAGAGGGGGAGGCAGAGAGGGAGAGAGGGAGACAGAGAGGGAGGCAGAGAGGGAGGCAGAGAGGGAGAGAGGGAGACAGAGAGGGAGAGAGAGAGGGAGAGAGGGAGAGAGAGAGGGAGGCAGAGAGGGAGAGAGGGAGACAGAGAGGGAGGCAGAGAGGGAGGCAGAGAGGGAGAGAGGGAGACAGAGAGGGAGAGAGAGAGGGAGAGAGGGAGAGAGAGGGGGAGGCAGAGAGGGAGAGAGGGAGACAGAGAGGGAGGCAGAGAGGGAGGCAGAGAGGGAGAGAGGGAGACAGAGAGGGAGAGAGAGAGGGAGAGAGGGAGAGAGAGAGGGAGGCAGAGAGGGAGAGAGGGAGACAGAGAGGGAGGCAGAGAGGGAGGCAGAGAGGGAGAGAGGGAGACAGAGAGGGAGAGAGAGAGGGAGAGAGGGAGAGAGAGGGGGAGGCAGAGAGGGAGAGAGGGAGACAGAGAGGGAGGCAGAGAGGGAGGCAGAGAGGGAGAGAGGGAGACAGAGGGAGAGAGAGAGGGAGAGAGGGAGAGAGAGGGGAGGCAGAGAGGGAGAGAGGGAGACAGAGAGGGAGGCAGAGAGGGAGGCAGAGAGGGAGAGAGGGAGACAGAGAGGGAGAGAGAGAGGGAGAGAGGGAGAGAGAGGGGAGGCAGAGAGGGAGAGAGGGAGACAGAGAGGGAGGCAGAGAGGGAGGCAGAGAGGGAGAGAGGGAGACAGAGAGGGAGAGAGAGAGGGAGAGAGGGAGAGAGAGAGGGAGGCAGAGAGGGAGAGAGGGAGACAGAGAGGGAGGCAGAGAGGGAGGCAGAGAGGGAGAGAGGGAGACAGAGAGGGAGAGAGAGAGGGAGAGAGGGAGAGAGAGGGGGAGGCAGAGAGGGAGAGAGGGAGACAGAGAGGGAGGCAGAGAGGGAGGCAGAGAGGGAGAGAGGGAGACAGAGAGGGAGAGAGAGAGGGAGAGAGGGAGAGAGAGAGGGAGGCAGAGAGGGAGAGAGGGGAGACAGAGAGGGAGGCAGAGAGGGAGGCAGAGAGGGAGAGAGGGAGACAGAGAGGGAGAGAGAGAGGGAGAGAGGGAGAGAGAGAGGGAGGCAGAGAGGGAGAGAGGGAGACAGAGAGGGAGGCAGAGAGGGAGGCAGAGAGGGAGAGAGGGAGACAGAGAGGGGAGAGAGAGAGGGGAGAGAGGGAGAGAGAGAGAGGGAGGCAGAGAGGGAGAGAGGGAGACAGAGAGGGAGGCAGAGAGGGAGGCAGAGAGGGAGAGAGGGAGACAGAGAGGGAGAGAGAGAGGGAGAGAGGGAGAGAGAGAGGGAGGCAGAGAGGGAGAGAGGGAGACAGAGAGGGAGGCAGAGAGGGAGGCAGAGAGGGAGAGAGGGAGACAGAGAGGGAGAGAGAGAGGGAGAGAGGGAGAGAGAGAGGGAGGCAGAGAGGGAGAGAGGGAGACAGAGAGGGAGGCAGAGAGGGAGGCAGAGAGGGAGAGAGGGAGACAGAGAGGGAGAGAGAGAGGGAGAGGGAGAGAGAGAGGGAGGCAGAGAGGGAGAGAGGGAGACAGAGAGGGAGGCAGAGAGGGAGGCAGAGAGGGAGAGAGGGAGACAGAGAGGGAGAGAGAGAGGGAGAGAGGGAGAGAGAGAGGGAGGCAGAGAGGGAGAGAGGGAGACAGAGAGGGAGGCAGAGAGGGAGGCAGAGAGGGAGAGAGGGAGACAGAGAGGGAGAGAGAGAGGGAGAGAGGGAGAGAGAGAGGGAGGCAGAGAGGGAGAGAGGGAGACAGAGAGGGAGGCAGAGAGGGAGAGAGGGAGACAGAGAGGGAGAGAGAGAGGGAGAGAGGGAGAGAGAGAGGGAGGCAGAGAGGGAGAGAGGGAGACAGAGAGGGAGGCAGAGAGGGAGAGAGGGAGACAGCATGGGGAGAGGCACGGAAGTAAGGTCCAGTCCGACATACCCCTTGCACTTCATATCCACCATGAACTCTGACTGAAAGAGGGGGAGGGCGGGCGGGTGGGGGGGGGGGGGGGAATGGCATGGAGTGCCCGTCGTTCTTGACACCGCTCTTGCGCTCAACGTCTTGGGTTTGCGAGGCGTGCATGTGCTGCGTTTGCCAGCTGAGAGAAGGGACGGGCAAACGACAACTGAAAGGAAGAGGAAGCTGTCGACAGCAACCAGAACACTTCAGTGTACTTCACGTCTGCCATGGACTTGGTGTACAAGCTGGCACCTGAAGGGATAGTAACACCAACGGCGAGAGAGTGGGAGGGTGACAAAAGTGGGAGAAACGATGATGGCGATGAAGGCGACGAAGGCGACGAAGGCGAAGGCGACGAAGGCGACGAAGGCGACAAAGGCGAGGACGGCGATGAAGGCGATGAAGGCGATGAAGGCGACGAAGGCGACGAAGGCGACGAAGGCGACGAAGGCGACGAAGGCGACGAAGGCGACGAAGGCGACGAAGGCGACGAAGGCGACGAAGGCGACGAAGGCGACGAAGGCGACGAAGGCGACGAAGGCGACGAAGGCGACGAAGGCGACGAAGGCGACGAAGGCGACGAAGGCGACGAAGGCGACGAAGGCGACGAAGGCGACGAAGGCGACGAAGGCGACGAAGGCGACGAAGGCGACGAAGGCGACGAAGGCGACGAAGGCGACGAAGGCGACGAAGGCGATGAAGGCGATGAAGGCGATGAAGGCGATGAAGGCGATGAAGGCGATGAAGGCGACGAAGGCGAGGAAGGCGATGAAGGCGAGGAAGGCGAGAGGGAGAAGATGGGAAGACGGGGAGGCACATGAAGGTCGGGACTCGGGAGTGTACCCCGCGAAACGAAAGGCATGTTTTAGTCGACTCGAAGACCAATCCACAGAGAGAAGACGGGAGGAAGGGGAGGCACACGAAGGTCGAGAGCGTTTTTCCGGAAGCGGAGGCCTACCATAAGGTCGGGAAGCTGCTTGGCTGTGGATGGCTGTGGGTGGCTTTTGAATCGACTCAAATATCGGGAGTGTGTACCTTCCAAACGCAGGCCTCCCATCAGGTTGGGGACGTATCTTTCGAATGGAGGCTTACCATGAGGTCGGGAAGCTGCTTGGCTGTGGATGGCGCGGAAACGGCGGCTGTGGCGGACCCAGCCTGTGGGGAACGACAGCCGCGCGCGAGGAAAAGGCAGGCACAGAACGGTGAGGAAGTAGAGAGTTAAGAATTTACGCGAGAATTTGTCAAGAGAAACGTCGCGGTGCAACGACGCGATCGCTCACGTCGCATGGTTAACGTCGCACAAGGCATAGGCATCGTGGTTACCCTTCGCTCACCTCGCTCGCCATCGCTCGGCACCCCAATCGTCCCCTCGTCGCCGCTGCTGCCGCCGCCAATTGATCCCTTCCGCGAGCGCTTTGCCTCAGAGCCTTGCTGCGCGCGGGTGCGGCTTTTAGTTCACGCAGCAGCGCACGGCGCGTTACTGTAGCCGGACTGGCGACGTTCAGGCGGCAGAGATGCTGCTGAGCGGGCAGGGAGATGGCGGGAGCAGCCATGCTAGTAGTGACCAGTTCGGGAAGAACGCAGGTTGCGCAATTAGGAGCAGCACGCGATTGAAGAAACGATACCTGCGTGGCATTATCAAGGGGGTGTTCGTTGACCAATTTTTCACCGGCACGGCGAGGGAAATCAGGCATGGGAAACATCGATCGAGGCTTCGTGGGTTCGCCGAACCCAATTTGCGAAACGTGACGTCAGCATGCGAAAACGTCGCGTCGGTTCGGTTTCCCCAAACCAATTGCCCCCAAATCGCGTGCTCCTCCTCATGCCAAACCCGAAGCGCGGCCATCAGCCGCCCAGAGCTGCCAGGCAAACTGCGGGGCCGTTCGCTGGCAATTTTCCGAGGGGAACGGGGAGGGGAACGGGCAACCAAATCCCGCGCGCATGGAATCTGCGCAGCCAAAGCTACGTAAACTTTTTTGTGTGCCCCCGTACTTTGGTAATCATAACGTCGCCGGCTCATGATTACGTCGGTCACGACTGCAGGACTGGATAAGACAAACTCGCGGACAGTGAAGAGTGGGGCCCATCAAAAGCCCTTTTAGCCCATCGCACTTTCGTGGAAAATCTAGCAGAGAAAATGAGATTCACACAATTTTGTCAAAACTGCCCTTTTTTTTTTACATTTCAAAATGTGACCGATTGGATGGGTATGAGCTGGCGCAATTGCGCAAATCGACGGGTAGGATTGAAGGGGAAGTGGCTGCGGTTTTTTTTTGGGTTTCGTAAACCTGCCCAGCCAAGAGGCATGCCAATCTTGGCCTGCCTCATACCACGATTTTGCAGTATGAGGTGTGGCACGTAGTTTGCCTGGCAGCTCTGGGCGGCTGATGGCCGTGCTTCGGGTTTGGCATGAGAAGGAGCACGCGATTTGGGGGCAATTGGTTTGGGGAAACCGAACCGACGCGACGTTTTCGCATGCTGACGTCACGTTTCGCAAATTGGGTTCGGCGAACCCACGAAGCCTCGATCGATGTTTCCCATGCCTGATTTCCCTCGCCGTGCCGGTGAAAAATTGGTCCACGAACACCCCCTAAGAATAGTCTTCTTTTACCTGACGGCGCGGAGATGAAGCCGCAGTCTCGTCCGACGGTTTGCACCACGTGCCCGGTCGCCAATCTTACCCACGATCCGTTTCCAAGTAATTTTCCTGGCTCAACACATTATAAACTGATGCAGAAAGTCTACAGTGACATACTAAACTTACCTGAAGCAGGACCTAAAGAGGAGCAGTATGTGATAACCTTCATCGAAGCCTCTACACGCTACGTCTGGACGGCAAACCTTCCCGCTCGTTATCTCGCTCACTCTGTCTTCGTCGCATGGCTCGCTGTCGCTGAACGAGAGTCTGGCGTGAAACTGCAAGAATTTCAGAGTGATGGTGCAGGGGAGTACACCAGCAACGCTTTCACCGAATACCTTCAGACACTCGGCATCAAACGAAAGCAGTCACTGCCGCATGCACACCAACAGATGGGGGTATCAGAAAGAATGAACAGGACTCTGCAGGAGAAGATGCATGCTCTGCTGACGCAGGCAGCACTTCCACCGCGTTTTTGGCCGTATGCGATGGACCACGCCGTGCTGTTACACAATCTTCTTTCTTCAACGTCCCTGCCCGAGTTTTCCTCTCCGCACCTGCAGTGGACATGTACAGTGGGAAATACCAAACTTTTACGAGTTTTCGGGTGTGTTGTGCAGTTTCGTCCTCCTACTGCAGCGCTCGGGAAGTTTTCCGAACGAGCAAAATGGGGGGTACATCTTGGCATCGAAAAACAGTATCACGCCTGGAAGATTTTGGATCTTCGTTCCAACCAAATCGTCCCATCACGTGAATGCCTCTTCTATGAAAGACTCACCTTGCCCGTTTTTCGTGCCCACCAGGCAGCAGCTGCCAACCCCGCCAGGCTGTTCGAAGGCTCGCGTGCATTTGCAACTGACGAAGCCGAAACTGATGTACAGGACGAAGCAGTTTCTAAAGCATCCGAAGCTGTCGCAACTGACATTCCCGAACCTGTAACTTCGACAAGCATACCAGAGTTTATTCCTCTTGCAGATGCTGACCAGGATGACGTTCGCGAGGTCCATCTCAGTTACGAACGTGATCGCCAACAGCAGCCGATGCCCGCTGTCTCCGACGAAGCAGTTCGTGTTACACCTGACGAAATTGGGGGGAAAGAAGGACCGGAAGAAAATTTCGCAGGTGCAAACGAAGAACGTCAGCGTTTTACAGAAACAGGTTTACAGATACTTGGATTTGCAGTAGCAGTACAGTCCAATGACAGTAAGATACCTGAACTGAAAACCGTTCGACAAGCTCTTACGAGCCCTCACCGAGAAAAATGGCGCGAAGCCATGGACAAGGAGCTCGCAGCTCTTAAGAATCGTGGCACATGGGATTTAGTACCGACTTCAGAAGTAAAAGGGAAGAAGGTACTTACCGGAAAATGGGTCTTCCGCGTCAAGACTAATGCAGATGGTTCGTTTGAAAAGTTCAAGGCGCGATGGGTCGTCCGCGGGTTTGAGCAGACTTACGGCATCGACTATGAGCTAACTTTTGCTCCTGTCGGTCGACATACAAGCGTTCGGATTCTACTCTGTGTCGCCGCCTGCCGTAATCTACGACTTCGACAAATTGACGTGTCAAATGCGTTTCTCTACGCACCCGTCGACGCACTCATCCTAGTAGAGTACCCACATTCCTATACTACTAATCCACCGAGCGTATGTCATCTCTGAAAATCGCTGTACGGCATTAAACAGGCACGACGGCTCTGGCAGCAGTATCTCCACTCACAGCTGATCACTGTCGGATTTTGTCAGTTACCGCATGACCAGGGGATGTATCTTCTAACCGACGGCAGTAACTATATTTTACTCGTCGCCTACGTCGACGACATTCTCTACGTCAGCACTACTGATTCGCTCTCCGATATCTTCATACTGAAACTACATAAAACTCTACAGCTTACAGTCTCCGAAACAGTCTCACCGTTTCTGGGTCTGAAAATTATCTGTTCACCAACAACGATTCACCTCACTGCTTCGAAGTACGCAGCGACGCTCGCTGCCCGCTCCAATCTCACTCCTACAGCAGTATCTACACCGTACCGCTCATTACCGACTGACCACAAACCGAACACTACACTGTTAAATTCAACTGGTTTACAGACCTATCAACAACAGTTAGGCTGTTTACTCTTCGCCGCTATTACTTGTCGTCCAGATCTGGCCTACGTGACTAGTCAACTCGCTCAGTTTCTACGCCGTCCTGAAGAGGAGCACCACCTTGATCTTCTTCGCGCGCTTCAATATTTCATCTCGACTCCTGATGTCGGTTTAGTCTACAACGTCATCGGCTTTGAAACACTATATTTACACGGTTTCGTCGACGCCGATCACGCTGCTGACTCTACAAATCGACGGTCGCGCACTGGGTTCATCTACCGGCTTGAACCTGTCGGACCTATTTCTTGGAATTCGACGAAGCAGGAACTGATTGCTCTCTCGTCTGCTGAAGCTGAGTTCATCGCTGTCTGCAAAGCAACACGAGAAGGACTTTACTTACAGGAACTGTTGGAAGAAGCGAAATTGACGACGACTACCCAGTTTACCCTGCAATGCGACAATCAAAGTGCAATTCGCATCGCGCACCAGCCTGGCTTCGTCAACAGAACGAAACATATTTCTCTGCGTTATTTTTTCGTCAAGGATGAAGTCGAGAAGGGGAGAATGCGATTGGTCTACTGTTCGACCAACGAAATGGCTGCCGATTTTCTTACGAAAAACCCGACACGACAGAAGTTCCAGTACTGCAACAAGCTTTGCGAGATCTTCAAGAAGTGACACTATCGAACTTCCAGAAATGAAGGGGAGTGTTGTGATATAATTGATACTTAGCATTTCTGTAAGTCGATTAGGTGTAGATAGTGTCGAATCCTACTGTAGAACATAAGTCTGTAGGATGACGTCAGCAAATAGCGCTCGTCATAGGACAGTTGTTTCAGTCACGCGAACAGCCGCACCTCTTCATTATCGTTTAGAGAGCATAGCGCGATAGTGACGAACAGGTACATTAGCGAATAGGTACTTTCCTAGAGCTATAAATCCTTGTTGTGTTCTTTTCATTATTAACCTTGAGATTTCAACCTTGAGAACTTTGAGACTTAAACTTCTGCAGAAACATATACTTAGGTTCATTCTTACAAGACTTCCGCTGTCTTACTAGTCTACCATTCCAGTAAAGATCCTGGACCAACACTTGAGGATTTCCAAGTGTTCGTGTTTGCAGTTTTATACTTAGTCTTCTACAACATTGGACAAGTTATTTCAGTGGGTTTTCGACGTTTCCCGTTTCCGAAATAAGGGCATTAGTTATCGCGTCTGGATTGCCCCACTCTTCACTATTCCTAGCTATTCCTGCAGAAAAGCTGGAATTCACATCGACCGGCTGTTGGCACGATTTCGCCTGAGTCAGCAGCTAGGTGCCCTTTCCTTATTCCGGATTCCAGCCTTATTCTGGTGATCGGTACACACCTCTATTCCAGAAGGTTTGGTGTGATTAAAATGATTGGTTTTCTTTAAGCCTATTCCGAGCCAGCCCTGAGAAATTGCTCGACACCATCCTCATTCCAGAATGCGGCCAACCGATCAGGGCCCAAGTGTCCGCCAACGCCCAGACAGACAGCCGTCCTGCTGGGCGCTTCTTTGCGCGGCAACAACGAGGTGCCACGGGCGGAAATTTTTGATTGAGCACGGGCGACTTCGAGCGGTTCATGCATCGCCGCCGCGTGTACACTCCTGTTTCAGTCTGTTATACAACGACTTGATAAATAAAACATCCCCTTTTATGGTAAACCATACAAACCACATGCACTATCAATTGAAAGAGGAAAGAAACAGCAAAAGAGTAGACTTTGTTGGGCTGAGAAAAGCCCTTAGGATCTTTCCAGAGACTAAGTCCCAGTTGAAGAATGAGACTTGAGTAGTGCAGCGGAAGTTGAGTAGTTGAACCCTTGTACTAGTATATGAGAACAA